TGCTTCGCATCGCATTAAAAAAAAAAAACTCGCGACGGACTACAGAAATGCTTCTGCTTCGCATCGCATTAAAAAAAACTCGCGACGGACCACATAAATGCGTCTGCTTCGCATCGCATTAAAAATATACATTAGTATTTGTTTGTAGCCTGAAGAAAATGAAAATCATCTCTTTTGCTCAAACAATGAAACAATTTGAATAGAACAAAAGCACCAATTACTATTGATAAGAACGTTTTTTTATGATGATAAAAGCAGATGTTTGAGATGAAAGCTGTTAGCTCAAAAATAGAAGTAACACATTGTTAAGAAAAGCAGAAACTACAGGAAAAAACAGAAGAGACGGCAGCTTTGATTATTGTAGAGAGTTATTCAGTAGGAAAATCATTATTTTTAATAATAAAGGTTAGTTTGTTGATTTCTCAATTGACCAATAGTGAGCTGTTAGAGGTCTTGTAATAAAATCAGAGTAACACTAATTTCTCTATGGTGGTTCGCCTACCGAAATTTGACGTAGAGTCTGTTTTGGTCACACTTGAATGAGACGCACTTTAAAAACATGTCGTTTATATATATACCTTACAATTATATCTATAGAAAAAAATACACACAAGTATATTTAAGTGAGATATACCATTCTTTTTTCTCCTTTTCGATGAGATGCGTAGCATAGGATGCATGTTAAGCGTCACGTGTTTTTTGTTTACTTTTAATTTTCGGTAGACGCGCAAAAGTGTCCTTTTTTGCGTAGTAATCTCGAGAACCGAACATGACATCAACAGCTAATGCTAGCCATAAGTCTATTTACTCACAACTGTTGATAGAGAATTAACCGTACAAATAATTACATTTTCAATCGAAATAATTCTATGAGAATATGGTGATACGCATGCATAGTTTTCTTCTTAGTAATGAACTTTAGTAGTATGGCTGCTTTCATACTATTTCGAGTTTTTTGAATTTTTTTGGAAACAGAAGGTGCAATCAAGAGATCGAACAGAACGCGAAATTCGGGAAGGATAAAATAGACATCTAATGAATTAATAGGTGGGCTGTATAGTTGTTATCGACTACTTACATTTTATCGCACATTCGACTCGTGCTCCTCATCGTATTTTGTAGTCGACTTTGCCTCGTATACTATCTATTTTTCTCATCATTTTTAACTGAAAACTGTCGATAAGTGACTAAATAATCAATGTTATTAAAAATTATCAGCAAACCAACCAACCAAAAAATATTGGCTCTTACTGTAGAAAACAAAACATTTCATATGTGATTTTTGTCTATGGGCAAGTTGTCAAATCAAATCAAGAAAGAAAGGGAAAATATTTTGTCAAATATCAAGGACCAACTTTTATTTTCAGGTATACTAGTAGAGAAAGCAATTATGCTAATTACGTATTTTTAGTAGTATATCAAAATCTTCTCAAAACAAGCATGAGTAATGTCGAGTCAGACTTATTTTTAATTCGAAATTGCTTGCTAAATATCGTATTTAGATCCAAATAAAAGACTTTTTTTCTATAAAAAATTAAGAACACAGTCGCTGCAGGACCAAAATATGCAACATAAGATTGCAATCTTCTGACGGTCGTTCATGAGAATATCTAGCAGGACGGAGCTCGAGATAAACTCCTACTCTATGGGAATCAATAATTATTTAAGAGTGTATTTTATTGAAAGCTGCAAAACTCTCGCATAGTTCGATTCGAGATTTGATACTCTTCTAATATTTGTCTCAACTCCTGCAAAGAAAAAGACATGAACATAGGTATAAATAAACGAAATAGCTTTTCGGTTAGAACAAAAGAAAAAAGCTTACCGGCTTGCTAGCGGTACAGTATGTATACAAACGATCGTGCATCTATATTGACACACCGTTTCAATACACGTGATTTTAAACTCTACCTGTACAATTACTCCATAATACAACTGAATTCTTTTCACTCAAGACCTTTTATGCACTAGTTTTGAATTTCGTTAGAATACAGAATCAAAAAACAAAATTGGTACCCGTTAAAGAGTGCACAATAATAAGATAATTTCGATTTCGCTGGTAACTATCATCTACATGTAGTATTCATTTAAGGCATGATAAACCAACAAATACAGTTATCTGCTTCAATTGTTACAAATAATTCTATGAATCTAAAACTA